AATAATTTAAAAAAATTATTTCATTCTATAAATATGCATAATATATATGAAAATAATAAAAATTAAATAAAATTCATAATTTTAAAAATACTTTTATAAAATAATAATTTTATCATATTTTATAAAAATATTAATTAAATATCAATATTCAATAAATATTGATAATCATAAATTTAAGAGAGATAAACTTTTATATGTAAAATTTAAAATTTAAATAAAATGAAAAAAATAAAATAATTTTTATAAATGTAAAGTTTAAAAATAAATATTACAAAAGTTTAAAAAAATATATATAATAACAAGAAAAAATTAAATAATAACATTAATTGTTAAATTTTTGAACAAAATTACAAAAAATACGAGTAAAAAGTAAAATTATTATAACAACAAAATATATAATACACATAATTTTAAAATTATATGTAATGATCTTTTAAAAAAAATAATTTTTTTGATTGTTTCACTTCTCAAATAATAAATTTTATTTATAATATAAATGTTAATTATCAATTCCTTATTTTTTATTTTATTTATTGAATTAAAAAGAAATTATTATGTTAATTTAATAGAAATAATAATTATCATCTTACATAGAAGTATTTTATTCATTTATAATCTTAATTTAAATTTAATGGTATTTAATAATAATTTATTTTTTATCATATAATTTATAATTTATTGTGAAAGGTAGTAGTAAAAATGTAAAAGAAAATATAATTTTTAATGTGTTAAAAAATTATTAAAATTTTAAAAATGAAAACTATTTACCATCACAAAATTATAAAAAAAATCAATACATATTTTTTATACTTCATTTCTTTTATTTGTCAGCGTCTTATAAAATTTTTGGTTTTTTTTATTGCTTCAGAAATTCAAAAAGAAAATATTTATTATTTTTCATATATTGCCTTTATTCTTTATAAAACCTTTAATTATTTTCTTCATAAATATTATGTCTAATTTTTAATTCTACACTCCCTTTCTTTAATTACTTAATTTGTTTTACTATTTTGAAAATTTTAATATAAAAATAAAATAAATTATATAAATTATTATGCAGATTAGTTAAAAAAATTATGATTTGATCTCATTAATTTTGGAAACTTTTAATGATTAATTTTTTATCTTACAATAAATGTGTAAAAATTATTTTTCTAAAAAACATTTCTCTCTAAAATTTAATATTTTAATTTTTTTAATTTTTAAAAAATTTCACTCTAAAAACTAATATTTTAAAAAAAATATTTTTTTTATTTTCTTACTATTCTAACTTTCTACCATGCTAAATATTTAATGTAATAAATAAAAATAAAAATGATAAACTCCCTTATATAAATCATTGAACCACTTAAACTAAGAGAACTCAAAAAATAAAGTTTTTTTTTTTTTTAAATTTAGAAAAATTCTATAGCACTTCTCCTCTTATTTAATTAACTTATAAATAAAAATTAGTAATCATTAACTCCTTTTCCTTTTAATTCCTTTCCTTGATATAAAATCTATTGTAATAATAAAACAATAATTATTGTTTTATTAAAATTTTAAAATAACAGTTAAAAGGAATAATTTTGTTTTTGAAAATGATAAAAGAAGAAGAAACAACAAAAGACAGTAATAAAATATAAACGAAAAAATATTTTTTTAATGTGTTAAAAAACACATATTAAGATGTTAAAAATAAAAAAAATATTTACTATTTTAAAAAATATTTATTACAAATTTTTTTACTTCATTCCTTTTATTTGTCACCGTTTTATATGTTTTATTTTTTTTTTTATTTATAAATTTTAAAATTATTTATTATTTTGTGTATTATGCCCTTATTCTATATAAAACTTTTAATCATTTTATACATTTACCATAATTAAGATGAATAATTTATTATTGTAAATTTTAAAAATTGAGATTAAATTAAATCTCTTGATCATATATCTACACATTAATCTAAAATATATGTAGTTTTCCTTCATTTCTATTTTATCTGTCGCATAATTTTGTTTCATACAATTTAGAAAAAATTATTAATGCACTATTTTACATAAAAAAATATTATCTAATTTTTTAAGTCTACCCTCCTTTTCTTTAATTATTTAATTCCGTTTATTAATTTTAAAATTTAAATATAAAAAATAAAATATATTATATGAATTATTGTACAGATAAATTAAAGAAATAAGATTTAGTCTCGTCAATTTATAAATTTTACAATAATTAATATATTTATTTTACAATAAATATGTAAAATAATTTAAAATTTTATATATTAAGGATATAATAAAATAAGAAAAAATATTTTATTAAAATTTTAAAATAAAAATAAAAAATAGTTTTGTTTTGGAAATGACAAAGGATGAAAAAACGATAGAAATAATTTAAAAATTTTAATATAATACATCTAATGCTTAAATTAGAAAACCCATAAAATCTCTCCACTTTAGAGAGATCGAGACTGGTCGCCCATCAGTATTATTCAACCAAGAAATAATAAGAGGTAATAAGAGAAATTAAATATTAAAAAATTGAAATGAAATAATAAGAGAAAGTTAAATAACAATTTTAATTTTTAAAATTTAAAATAAAATTATAAAAAAATGAGTAAAATAAAATTATTATGACAACAAATGTGTAATTCATACGTAATATGTACACATAATTTTTGAAAAAAAATTAATCTTTCTGAATCTTTGACTTCCCAAACTAAGTTTTTTATTCGTAATAGCTTATTTTTTATTTTTATTATTGAAGATCACGTTATAAAGGAATTAATATGTCAATTTAATAAAAATAATAATTATCATCTTACATAGAAGTATTTTAGTCATTTATAATCTTAATTTAAATTTAACGATATTTAATAATAATTTATTTCTGATCACATAATTTAGTAATTTACTGGGAAAGATAGTAGTAAAAATGTAAAAGTAAATACAAATTTTTAATTTAAAAACTTATTAAAATTTTAAAAATAAAAAATTATATATTTTATACTTCATTTCTTTTATTTGTCAGCTCATTTTATTAAATTTTTGGTTTTTTCTTTATTCAGAAATTCAAAAAGAAAGTATTTTTTGTTTTCCGTATTATGCCCTTATTCTTTATAAAACTTATAATTATTTTATACATAAAAACTATTATCTAATTTTTAAATTCTACATTCCCTTTCTTCAATTACTTAATTTATTTTATTTTTTTAAAACATTTTATATTAAAAGTAAAACATATTATATGAATTAATGTGCAGATGAGTTAAAAAATTATAACTTTTTTCTGATTTCTTATTTTTTAATAATTAATTATTTATCTTACAATAAATATATAAAATAATTTAAAATATTAGAAAGAGTAAAACTTTGTTTAAGAGTTTAGAATGAGAAAGAAATAAATAATTTCAAGAGCTTAGAGGAGAGAAAAGAGAAAGAATGATAAAATACGCTTTTATTTAAATGTTTAATATTAAAAAGAAAGAGTAATAGAGTTTAATATATAAATTATATTATTATTTTTTTAAAATTTTTATATATCTGTTTTATTTTTTATTTTTAAAAAATATTTTTTCTAAAAATTAATTTTTTTTAAATTTCTATTTTTACTTTTTATAATTTTTTTAAATTATCACTCTAAAAATTAATTTTTGAAAATTTTATTTGTTTTTATTTTTTATTTTCTTTCTATTCTAACTTTATATTGTATTAAATATTTAATTTAAAAAATATAAATATAAATTATGTACCTCATTACATAAGTCATTAAATCGTAAGAGAACTTAAAAAAAAAAGGTTAAAAGAGTTTTAAAATTTAAAAAACTTTTTAATTCTTTTTTTTTTAATGTTTGATTAATTTTTAAATGGGTCAATTATCACTTACTTCTCGCTTTCCATTCGTTTCCATTTTTTAATATAAAATTTAAACAAAGCTTGATAATATAATAAAATAATAATACCTATTTTATTCAAATCTGAAAATAATAATTGAAAGGAATAATTTTTTTTAAAATGATAAAAGAATAATATACTATAAGAGTAATTTAAAACATTTAATATAATACATTTAATGTTTAAATTAGAAAATTCAAAAAGAAAATCTGAGTCTACTTGACATAGAGACAAAGAGTGGTGGGTCCCATCAGTATTCAAACAAGGACCACCAAGAGTGCTATGAAGCCCCATCTATATTCAAAAAGAAAATATTTATTATTTTTCATATTTTGCTTTTATTCTTTATAAAAATTTAATTATTTTATTCATAAATATTATATTTAATTTTTAATTCTATACTCCCTTCTTTAATTACTTAGTTTATTTTACTACTTTAAAATTTTTAATATAAAAATAAAATATATTATATGAATTATTACGTAAATAAGTTAAAAAAAAAACGATTTAGTTTCATTAATTTTTTGAATTTTTTAACGACTAGTTTTATTTTACAATAAATGTGTAAAATTAATATTTTTAAAAAAAATTATTTCTAAAAATTTATATTTTTTTAAAAATATTTTATTTTATTTTATTCTAATTTTATACCATATTAAATATTTCATTAAAAATATAAATAATAAATTTCATTACATGAGTCACTAAACCACATAAACTAAGAAAATTAAAAAAATTAAGTTAAAAAAGTTTTAAAAATTTAAAAATACTTTGTAACTTTTCTTCTCATGTCTAATTAACCCTTCCAATTCTCCTCCTCATATAATAAAACAATAATAACTGTTTTATTAACATTTTAAAATAACAGTTGAAAGGAAAAATTTTGTTTTGAAAATATAACAGATGAAAAAAGATAAAAGAGTAATTTAAAACATTTAATATAATACATCATGTTTAAATTAGAAAACTCAGAAAGAAAATCTGGGTCCGCTTGAGAGAGAGACAAAGAGTGGTGGGCCCCATCAGTATTCAAACAAGGACCACCAAGAGTGCTATAAAGCCCCTTCCTTAGCTCTCTCCTTACACCACATTCTGAATTGGAGTTAATTAGCTCAAAGCAAACAAAAGATGGTTCAGGGAAGAGGCAGTAGTGCAACAATGCTACTATTCTGCGCATTGGTGCTTTGCTCTGTCATGGCTCATGCAACCACCTTTCAGGTTGGGGATGCAGCTGGTTGGACCTTTAACACCGTAAATTGGCCTGACGGAAAGACTTTCAAGCCTGGCGATACACTTGGTTAGTTCTCTTTAATTATCTTAATTTCTACCAAATTATTTAATTTATACTTCTTTTATGCAAAGTTAATTGTTTTTATTTGTTATTATATTGTTATGTGCAGTGTTCTCTTATAGTCCTGCTGCGCACAACGTGGTGAAAGTGGATGAAGCTGGTTACAATTCATGCACTGCTTCAGAAGGATCAAAAACGTATCAATCAGGAAATGATACCATCAAGCTTTGCCCGGGAAAAAGCTTTTTCATCTGCACTTTTCCTGGTCACTGCCAAGGTGGGATGAAAATTGCAGTCAATGCTGCATGAAACAATAAGCTTCGTTAATTGTGTTTATTAGCATTTTTACACCTTTCTTTTGCATATTCGATGAATATGTTGTCATGCGATTTGAGTGAATAAGGAAATGGGTGGGAAGAGATCGGTGTGCCTAATGTATGTTTATTACGGGTGTCTTCAGTTTCACTGTTTCAGCCATCTGATAAACGAGAAATAATACAGTCCTTTCGTTTCATATGCTTTATTGTTTAAGATTTCTAAACAGATTAAGAAAACGTTACTTTTGGAATGTTTATAAATGTGCCCAAGTATTAATTCCTTAAGTGTAACTGATGAAGTTAAATGGTCACCCTAATTTTAGCATCCCTTTTTGTGTTGTGCGGTAATAACTTCAAGTCTCTCGTTGCTATTTACAATGAGCGGAAAAGTTTACAAGAAACACGTATAAAACGACAACTAATGCTAACGTTTCATCAGTAATAAAAACTAATAAAGCACAAATATGAAGAAAAATAATAAAAAAGTAAAAAGTATCCTTAAAACCCAATTTTCTACCATTTTTTTAATAAAACCTCTTTAATGGATTCCGTCGCTGGTTATCTTCTATATTTGCTTTTAGTTTTTCTTTTATGCTCTCAATTTTAGTTTCAAACTTAAAAAAAATAATAAAAAATCCAGCTTAATTAATAAGCATTATTTTTTTCCCCTCAAATTAATTCAGGGTCATTAATTGAGTACCTCGACTGAATAATAGAAAATCTCCGTTTGTGGCTCTTGGTAGGAAAATAAATATAATGCTTTATTTTATTCTGAAATTAAGGGTTATTTAATATCGCAATTAACTGCTTTTGTCTTCGTAACATATTGAGCACATATATATTTTATTCTTAGACTAACTGAAGGTCAATAAATATATTAAATTGAATGAATAAAATAATCATAATTTTAACTTTTTGTGTTAATCTTTGTTTGATATTCATAAGAAGATTTGGATGCATTTTTGCTTATATTAAAGTCCGTAAATAAAAGTTAACTAGTCAGCATTCTTTGTAATACACATGCAATATATATATATATATATATATATATATATATATATTATCATACAATTACTTGAAATAATAATTAAAAAATATTTTAACTGATTTTTATAATCATAAATAGTATATTAATTACTATAAATTTTATATAACTAATAATATTTGTAAAAAAATTCGAAAATTTATATAAAATAAATTTTTTAAAATGTAAACATAGAAATTCATAAAAAATCTAAAATTTTTATATAATATGATAAAAAAAGTTATACAACAAATTTTATTTTTAAAATTTTGAACGCAATTAAAAAAAAAGTAGGCAAACGTTAAAATTTTTATAACAATAAAATATAATTGACACATCATTCGTAATATTTATTTTAAAAAGTACACATGACAAAGTGTAAAAAAAGTAATATTCTTAAAGAATACTTTCATTTATAAATAATTAATAAAGAATATTATAAATACGCAAATCAATTAATAAAGAGTTATTGCTTCCAATAAAAAAAATACCTTTGCTTAAATAAAAAAAGTTATTAAATGTTTTACTGTAATTCTTGATAAAACCTTTTTTTATGGATTCTTTTGGTAGTTATTTTCTTCACAATTTATTTATTTTTTCTTTCATGCTCTCAGATTTAATTTTATTCTTTAAGACGATAATTAATGCACCTTTGTAAGTATTTATTATTTTTTCCCTCTCAAATTAGCTGAGGTCATTAATTAAGTATATAAGAATATGTTTGAAAAGAAATAAAAGCAAAAGAAAAGAAGAAAATATTTTTAATTTTCTATTCAGAGAATCGTATATTATTTATAATAATAAATATATAATTAATAATTAAATATATTAATATATCAGTTTATATTTTTATTATAAATATATATATTCTAAAGTTAAGGGCTATTTAATATTTTGATTAAATGGATAGAAACTGCTTCTGTCTGTGGAGTAATGAAATTTAATGAGTATAAAACTATTTTATTGTTAAACTAATTAAAGGTCAATAAATTTATTAATTAAATTAATAGAAATAGTGCGGTTTTTAATTCAGTTACGTTATATCGTGTTATCATATCAGTTAGGTTGAACTCATTAAACCATTACGTCTACGTACCGGTTTTGCTTAATTGTTTTTCCCTCCAGTCCCATTATCCACTTTTTGACTAATTTGGGGTAAATTTTAAAAAAAATTATCAAATAAACGTAGAAAAAAATATTTATTAATTTGGATTCGTTTTAACCATGTAATAGACCATCCTATTATTTTTTATCACATTAATTTGACTATTTCCAAATACAAAACTTATTTTTTATTATTTTAAATTAAACAAATTTCGCATATATATGCACCGGATAAATTTTTCTAACACTAACACGTGTTAACAAGACAAATAGTTTCTCCAAATTCAACGTTATTTGCTACAATCGCAAGACAGTTTTGCCTAACAAAAAAATGAAACTCGTTTTGAATTCTGTGTGTTTTTTTAAGTTAATTCTTCCCTCGTTATTACACATGAGATTTTCTTTTGAGCACTTATTTTTAATTTTTAAAAATTATCTTTCAATTTAGTTTTGTATAATATATTTAATATTTTCTAATGATAATAGTTTTTAAGTTTATAAAATTTAAAAATAATTATATAATTAAATCATACGTATGTAGTGTAAGAATAATTTTTAACAAAAATATATATATAGTTTTTGCTAAACATCGACATTTTATTAAGAATAAATTTGAAGTAAAAGTACTCTAATCCGTTACAATTCTAAAGAGAATTACTTAAGGATTATTAATCTAATTTATAATTGATTTTTTTAAATATTCTGCTATGAACAACTTTCAAGAGACGTATCTCAAGCATTTGCCCTAAACTTTAATCCCTTAATAGAATTGTTTTTCATATATTTAGATCGAGCTCATAACTTAGAGTTGAAATCGTACTTCTTCCTTCTGGTCTTGCAAAGTGCACTCTTCACATTAATTTTTTATTGTACTAACACATCAATAACAACATTAGATTGAGAAGAATGTAGTCCTTGACTTAATATGTAATTAGTCTCATCTGACCCATAAGAAGACCCACCATCAAATTTGCCAATAACACCTAGTTGTCATAATCCTTCATCAACTCCTATGTCCCACCAATTCCCCTTCTCACAAGTTTCGACTAACAAAAGCTCACCTCGCGGTCAGCTTCCTTTTCAAATGCAACATTTCCTAATCGCACAACATCTACATTATTATTAAAAAACAAGTCATTATTGATATTCACTTTATAATTTGAATTCTTTCTCATTCGTGCATTTGCTACATTCTTCATGGAATTTGATTTTGTACTTTCAAACTCTTCTTGATATTGTGCAATGTTTGGCAAGGAATCACATAAATTTTGTTCCCAATAATTCACCTCCTTAGGCCTTCTCAATTACATATATCCTTTATTAAAAACCATTTAATTTAAGTTAGATAAGACTTTTTGCATTCTTTGATTAATGTAACTTTTATTCTTAAATTAAAAAAATTCTAACAATTTTATTTTTATTTAATATTTGTTTAAAAATACACAGTATAAAAAATTAATAAATGACATATTTTTTTAGATCAAGTTATACTGAGTAAGCAATTAAGTGGTATATAAGTAAGTTAACATATTTAAACTATTAGGACATATTTTTAAAAAAATAATGATTTAGATCTTTTACTTTTATTTAATAATATAAGTTTTCATATATTTATGACTTAATTCTTCATAAAAATTTTGTAAAAATTCTCTTTTGATTTTTAAAACTTGTTATTTTAAATTTTTATATGATTGTATTGATAACTAATATTTTTTTTTTACTTTATAGGATTGTATTAATAGCTTTTTTTTATATTTATGTACAAATCTTGTATATATCTCGTATCTACGTAGTGATTTTGAGAATTACAACTTTTAAATGCACTGGTGTAGTTTTAATTTATAATCAAAAATAAATTTTGGATTAATAAAATGTTGAATGCAATTTTAAATCTTTAGATTTCTCCACAAATTTTTATGTATGCAGTTTATGATTTTTGGAGTTAAAACTTTTACATCTACTCTCATCGTCTCAATTCATCATGAAAATAAATTTTTGTATTGATAGATTGTTCAATGTCATTTTAGATTTTTCTCATGCCTTCCATGCAAATTGGTCGAATATATTTAGCACAATGTCTACAGAATTTTCTTAAGCCATTTAACCTCATTATTTAAGCAGAAATATTATTAGCTTAAGTAAAATTTACTTGGCTTAAGCAAATTGTTTATACATAAGAATCCTGCAATTTATTTTAAGTGAAAAATAATGACTTAAGTGAAAATTGACAAAATTTTGTATGATCATTGTTGTATAAAATTAACTAGAACTAATATTGTTTGACTTAAGTAAAATTTACAAATAATGATTTTATTATTTTTTTAGCATTTAACCACATCTTTTTTTTAGTCATTATTCTTGTTTTGATTTAGCCAAGTTGTTTGTTACTGAGAGAATGAGATGAGTATACGATATTTTCAAATTTAATTAGTTCTACTTGTAAAAATCACAATTCAAAATATAATAATGCAAAGAGAGTATGTTTTCTTTAGGTTGTTAAATTTGGAAATAACATGCAACAAGGGTAAGGGTAGAGAATACAGAGAAATTAAATAAAATATTTACGACATTATTCTAAGGAAAGATTATCTAGTTCCATTTGATATTTTGCTTTAGACATCTCTTTTGGACTTTTAACTTTAAATTTTAACCACAGACACTAAATCTATCAAATTATGTAACGCCCCAAATTTTGTAATATGATTTAATGGTATGTAAATATAGATGGATGCTTGTTTTGCCACGTGTTGGTGTATTGATTGACTTAATGGTGATATGAGCATGCCTTAGTTGATAGGAATGTGTGTGTGAATACAGATATATGTGAATGTATGTATAGGTGTGTGTGATTGGAATTTGGACTG